TCCATGACATGTGAATTGTCTGTATTAGAAACACTAACCTTAAACCCAAAATTCGGTCAGCGATTAAGGGGATTCAGAGGACAAAACAATCCATATTTGGCCTAGCAACTATAAACAAACTTCAAATTCAATTCATTCATTCATTCATTCATTCATTCATTGTATATTCCATAAATCCATATACATAGATATAGAACCAGTCACATAGTTAATATAGTACAATACAAATATAAATATATATGTACAGTTTATAATCATTAAAATAGATAAAAAAACATGTGTTAAATTTATATGAAAAAAACAGTCTTACATCACTATACATAAAAGTATGCAATATTAAAACTGTTTATGTTATTATCCTTATTTCTAGGCAAATTTGTTACTAAAGAATTCATCACATGTACAAAAAAGAGTTTTGCAATGACAGTCATGTGGTATTATGAAGGTGGTTTTAAGGTTATTCCCTAAATTCTTAATTTGCTATCCGTCACACAACCTAATACAAATATTCAAGGATCTTTAAACTTCCAATAACGCCAAATGTCAGCAGATTTTTCATTCGATTCAAATCTGACAAAACAAGAAACTGCCACTTCAGAATTGTCAATGCAGGATATTATAAATAAACTTGCAATATTATGAAGTCACAAGGTGTACACACTGGTGCCCCTGTAACTGTAAATGGAATAGGATGAACTATAAAGATTAGCATAGCATTACAAGAACTAAAACACACACACATATAGTCGCGTGGAGGGTGTGTGTGTGTGTGTGTGTGTGTGTGTGCGTGCGTGCGCGCCTGCTAATTAGGTTTGAAGACTGCCATCTTCTGGGATGTAACGCCGTGTAGCCTAGTATTAGTAAACCGACGTTTCGGAGAGACGTACTGCCTCTACTTTCAGTGTAGAAGCTGGTTTCCTACTTGACTTACTCTTCGAGCCTCAAGATGGGGAATTTAGATACATTCCTCCAAAGCCTCAGTCCACTTCTACCGGACTACACGGCATTATATTTCACAAGATAGTGCTCTTTACAGTTACCGCTGTGAGAACCTCAAATCGAATACAGTTAGGTTAGGTTTGAACAACACAACAACGTTTAAAGATACGAGAAATAATCTATCAAGCCATGATGCATGTCGTATTACATAAGTTACTCACTTCTTCTTTGCTAACAGCCCGCCGTTTCCTACAGTCATTGTTGTTAGTAATGTAATATCTCCTCCCAAACTTAACTTCACACCGCTTTCTACGTCTGTCGCTATCACACCGGAAACGATGTTGTCATACATTGTTAAGTGCCCCCCCCCAAACCCGTGCAATGTAAGTGTTCTTCTACCTCCTCCGAGTATAACCATGACGACAATAACTGCCACTAGTCACGACGTTGTACTTACGTACGGATTCTCAGACGGACGTGGTAAGACTTACCCTTGAGGTGTGGCCGCGCCATAGCTCAAGCGGTTAGTCGCTGGCTTCCCACCGCGGCGGCCCGGGTTCGATCCCTGGTCTGGTCAAGTGGGATTTGTGGTGGACAAAGTGGCGCTGGGGCAGGTTTTCTCCGAGTACTTCGGTTTCTCTTGCCAATCTTCATTCCACCAATTGCTCCACAGTCACCCTCGCCTATCATCTGGGGCTCGTAAAATAGGACAGAAGTGGCCACAGTACAAGGGACTTAGTCCCACCCCACTAGCAATAATTAAAAAATACCCTTAAGGTGCAGATATATTGTTCCCCAAAGCAGAGTGTTAAATTAGTGGACCGCCACCTGAGAATGACTGCGCTGTCGAGGCTTTAACTCTGACTCTGACCCTAGTGTATTGGAGTGAAAAGTTGGTGAGTGAGTTAAGGTTCGGCCACACAGAGCGCTACGCTATGTTCGCTACGTACGCTAAGTACGCTGTGTACACTCTGCGACGCAGTTAACATAGGGAACATAGCGTACGTAGCGTACGGAAGTCTGTGTGGCCAGTCACACTGGCAATAAAGGGAGATATTTTTCTGTTCGTATAGCGAACATAGCGTACGTAGCGTGCGTCGCGTACGTAGCGCTCTGTGTGGCCGAACCTTTACAGCAGTAGTTCTCAAATTTTCTCTTGCTCGCGGTCCACTTCTGAGTTTCATTCACTTCTGTGGTCCCCACACCTCATAATGTTTAATTACAATAAATGTAATATTTATAATAAATATGTGCTTTATCAACTGCACTTTTATTTATAACATGTAAAAGGTAACTTAACACAAAGTTAATAGAAAGTCCGTCGAGTGTAACAATTTGTAGGTCCCTTTTTATTATTATTTCTGCCTTACATGTTTCGGTTTGACACAACCATCATCAGAGGCACTTGCTATAATTATGGAAACACTGTCGCTGTTTTTGATGTTACAGTTAGGTTTGTCGTGTGGACGTTGCTACGATATGTTGACGTGTAAAAGCACAAAACATGCTAAGATAGTTGAGTACACTCTC